GGTTCAAGAATGATCCTTGAAAATATGATTTTCTAAATAGGGATTATGATTCCCAGTTGAAGGGAGAGAAAATTTTTGAAATTCACCCCTTATTCCGCAATCTTTGGGCGTCCATGGGATGGATCTCTCATCCCTTCACAAAGAGCAACGTACAAAGGATGATGCAACATTTACAACCTAGAGCGCCTTTGTGGCATTTGTAGTATAAAACATGTTTCTATACATCATAGGATATAAAATTAATAAACCAATAATTACTTTTTTTTTAATGGTTAAGTAGAGAAATAATGCTGGATGTAAATTACAGTAGCATATGATCCCAAATATAAATTTTAATTATAATTCATGCCATTCATTTAACAGAATTTTACATTAATAATTTAATTTGCAAGAGGTTAAAATGATAAACTACTAATTTCTAGATTTCATAAACAAAAGTAGTCAATTAAATGGGATGTAGATATTTATTTACATTCTGATATGTACATCAAATCCCAATTTTGTTACTGTATCTTTTATTCTAATTAAGGCACTGCTAGGATATAACTCTGCAACCATTTCATAATGTCACTCATCTCGGAAGAACAGCAGAAACAGTTAATCCATTGATTGAAAGATCATCAGGACTCCTCAAAGAATGACCAGACTGCACTGTGAACCTCCCAACAGAGAATGCAGGTTGTTGTGGTTCTTGAAGAGCTACTGTTTCACTTCTAAGCATAACAACAACGGATGACATGGTAGGTCTGTCCATTGGGTCTTCTTGTACGCACAATAATCCAACTTGGATGCATCTTTCAAACTCAGTTTTACAGCATGACTCTGTTAACAATGGATCCATCAACTCTAGTCCTTTCCCTTCACTCCATAATCTCCATGCCTGCATTCATCACAAGTGGGTTAGGCATTTTAAGAAGTGGCAGAATGGCCATTCCTTGAAGAAGTACAAAGTGATATAAAGATAGAGTGACCTACATATGCTAAGAGACTAGGAGCATGTTTGGACAGACGGAAGCCAGCATTCCTTCTTCCAGTTATGATCTCAAGCACGAGAACTCCAAAGCTGAAAACATCTGACTTTATAGAATACAAACCCTCCATAGCATATTCTGGAGCCATGTATCCACTATTTGGAGTGACAGGAGAAAATTACAAGAAAATTTGAGAATTGTATTGGAGAATTAATTGGATCTAACAGTTACCAATAAAACCCATGTTAGCTTTTCAGTTTATGCAGAACAAAGGAGTAGTAAATAAGTCTTGAAATCAAGCAGAAGTAAAAATATGTTTGTTCTAAATAAGAGCATTTCCTATACCACTGTAAGCTCTTTTATTATCTACAACAGAAGATTTTAAATGGAAAGTACTTACTAAGTTCCAACTATTCTAGCAGTGTTAGCTTCACTATCATTTTTCTCAAAGATCCTTGCCATGCCAAAATCCGAAATCTTTGGGTTCATGTGCTGATCCAATAACACATTGCTAGCTTTTAAGTCTCTATGAATGATTCTAAGTCGAGAGTCCTCATGAAGATAAAGAATTCCACGAGCAATTCCAACAATAATGTTAAATCGTTTTCTCCAATCGAGTAGCGCTCGTCTTCTCTCATCTGGCCAAACAAAATATGAAATAATGTGCATTAGATCTCAGTTGAGATACGGAAGGAAAAATGGCTTTGGGTACCTAAACTACCGGGTTCTATTCTATGTTGTATTTTTTCAGTATCCGATTAAATTCAAAAAAAATAGCAATAAAAGAATACTAACCAAAGAGAACAACATCAAGGCTTCCATTGGGCATATATTCGTAGACGAGTAGCTTTTCTTCTCCTTCCACACAACCTCCCAAGAGCCTCACAAGATTTTTGTGTTGAAGTTTCATTATTAATGAAACTTCATTCATGAATTCATCTGAACCTTGCTCTGAACTTGCTAGTCTCTTAACTGCTACTTCAGTTTCATCAGGTAGAGTTCCCTGAATATATAACCCTCTTAGTATTTTTTTCCAACAAGAGCTAGCTTGAATAGGTATTTATTAGACAACCTCATAACCAACACATAATAAAAAGATCGATGCACCCCTAAACTATGATCCCTGTTAATATTTCTCATTGTGTAAGTTTTGCCTTAATTAGCTTTCTCTCACATTTGGATTGAAAGGTTGAGGAGATGCACCAATAACAGATGATGACACTAAAAGGTGTGTTTGGTTTGATAGAAAACTTAACAAGAGAAAAGAAGAGAGTTGAGGGAAAGTTCTTCACAAAATTTGTGAAATTCCTAAGAATTTTCCCTCAACTTTCTGTCAAAGGAAACGGTACAATCTAGAATCACTCATGGACGTTAATTGAAGTCAAGAAGAAATTCATTTGGGAATTAATAGAAATTCAAGAGATGTTATTACCTTATAAACTGGGCCGAAACCACCTTGTCCAATCTTATTCAAATCAGAGAAGCCATTTGTAGCTTCATGTATAATAGCTAAACTAATCATAGGAAAATCCTGAGATTTTATCTGATCCATTCCTTCAATGTTTTGGTATGAAGAATCTGTTCTAGTTGGACCATGAATATCCTGCAAAGGAGGTTCTTCAAGGATAATTTTGTTTTTCTCTGGAACAAACCAAAAAAGAAGGTTAATTTGCAATATTAGAAATTAAAGAATATATCTATATATATATATGTATATTATGTGAAGAAGTGTCAATTTTAAGCATATTTACCTTTTCTTGACCTGTTTCTCCTGGCATGGCAGTAGGCCCATGAACTTAAAAGAGCTACCATAATAATACATGCCAATATGATAGCTGCAGCAATTACAATTACAATCTTTGATGACTTATTACTCTGCTTCCCTGCTTTAAAAAGCAAAAATGTTCACACTTTCAATTGAAATTTGCAATTATGAAATGTATATTTAGTACTACTCAAAGAGCTCTAATGAAATAGGGGTAATTAACCAAAAAAATGCAGTAAGGTGAAAGCCTGGTCTACTCACCGGGATTGGTAGGTAGAGTTGGTGGAAAAGCATCCGATTCAGTAGCATTCTGATAGAAATTATACAACTCATACCTTAAGTAGCAATTCCTATTAAGAACTCTTGCTCCTCGATAGAAATAGCAGCAACTTAGAATTTCATCTGTGGAATTTTGGAGACACTTATAGCAATCTTCTGTAGATAAGTCGTTGGTGCACTGCACAAGACCATATATCGTATCATGGTCGGTAAAATTAGCATTTCCAGTCGCAATCATGCTGCTCGATGCATTGAATGTAGCCTCCTTAGAAAGGTTAGCTAGTAGGCTTCTCACAGTCGGTGCGAACTCATCTGGGTTTGTTATGTTCTTCTTGTTCCAAAGAGGAATATTTCCAACACCAACTTTGCCGAAGAAATTTTGGTTCGAGTAGCTCAATTGACTGTATTCCTCCCAATCAGTTGCCTCTGTTCTGTTTGGACACAATCGGTTGATATTCTGAATAGCAATATCTACATACTCCTTACAAGTGTCGAGGGTTTTGTAATTTACACACATGAAGAGGCCATACACTCTATCTGAGCTGTTGCCAATGGTGACTTTATTGAAGTGTGAGAGGGAAGCTGCAGAGGATAAATTCTGGAAAAGGAGATTGAGATTATACTGAAACATACTATTCATCGAGTAATTTGCGTTGCTTGAACAGATGTTATAAGGAGGGTCGGCGCTACAAGGTGTATGAAGCACAGCAAATACGGAATACAACCACAGAACCCGAAAGGCTTTGGAAGCACTCAAGAAAGGAATCATCTCTAACCTCTGCAGTGGAACTTGAAGCTCTTCTCCACCCTTGTTATACTTGATTTTTTTTTGTCTAGGAGGCTACAATTTCAATCTGGGTTGACTCGTACCTGTTTTAACACTTGAGAGGACATTCATTAGACAAAGATAATTGCACCAACTCTGTTATATATATAATATATACACACAAACAACTCGACTGACAGAGAGGTAATGCTAAATTGCTAACCCAACTCAAAAAGAAATGTTCGACTACTGATTCTGCAATGGGTTAAACTCGGGAGCATTTTGGGCCTAAGGTCCACCAACAACAAGAAGTAGGTTTGGGTCAGGGCTAACGGTGGGCCTGCGCCTGAAAGAGGCCAGTTGGCTATATTCAGGTGATTCGAAAATGTTTAAGCCTTTCAGAGTTAGGCTCAATGTCTCAGTTCTCAATCTCAAACAACCACGGTCAATACTCGGACGGTAAGGCTCTTCGTCCTTAACCGGCAATTCCATCTCTTGGCCGGCAATCGCAAACCCATCAATCAAACACATTTACTACTACATTGGAATTCCAAATTTGATAGTTTAGCTGCTTGCAGGCTTTCAGCGGCGAATAGACGGACTACACGGCCGTCAATATCGCTCCCTAGCTCCAAAGTCCAAACCAAACAAGTATGACAAAGTTTCCAAACAAGAACGGAGATGAATTAATTCATAGAGCGAGGAAACCAATCAGACCTTATAACAGTATTAGAGTCAATTCAAAATTGAATCATACGCAGATTAACGAATAAGGATCAGAAAGCTATGAAAAGAGAAAAGAAAAAAAAAAAAACAGATTTTTATTCCACATAGCTGTTCAAACACCTCTACAGTATCAGATATACGAAGAAGCCAAGAAATCCCATACCTGAAGCCATCTTCAGTCCTAGAAAGGCGAAGCCAATGGAAAGACAACAAATTCCGATGTTTAATCGATCTCTCACTTGCTAAGCGGCCAATTGTGATCGATGGGTTAAAAGATAATAGGTTTGGAGTTTTGAGGGAATAAATTAAAGTTTATTCGACATCAAAGAAATTGCCTTTCACTTGTATGAGTTGTATCCAACTTTTTATATTATTATCTGAAACATTTTCTTAACCATTTATTGTTCATCAAGTGATGAAAGAAAAGTTGTGTTTGTGAATTAATTCTGACTTTATGTATGAGTTAAAAGAAAAGTAGTTCACTGAAAGTATGGGGACATGGAGACCGTGCTTTCCTTGAAGTTGAACGACGAAATATGGTATGGATGACTTGGGCGAAGCCAGTGGGCTCAGGGGAGTAAAGGGTTCTGACTTATGCGGTGCATGTGTTTCGTGGAAAGTGGTTCTTGTTTAACAAGTTGTGCGTAGTCAAGAGTCATCACTGTAATAGAGAGGAAAAGTTTCCAGTCAGTGGACTGACTGACCGCCCATTTGCCAACGTAGCCCAAGGTTTTAATATTTATTCATTAGTACTCAATTTCACATCACACAAAGTAAATAATTAGTTAGTATGCTCAGGCTCAGCTCGACTCTAATTCACGGATATTTTCAATTGATTTTTTTATTGGGTCATTGGGTGTGTCTTTTTTTTATTTATTTATTTTTGGTCGACAATTAGCTGTATCTGTACCCTTGTCTGTGTTATGAATACCGTTGTCCCTTTTATTTTATATATTTTAATTTGGAATGTGATGAATATAAAATTCTGTTTTCTAGTGAGTAAATCAGAGAAAGCCCTCCTCAGGTTAATCCGGATGGTTTATTCCTCACAGCATGTTACAACCATTGAAAAGATCTCCCCATGTGTGGCTTCTGGCTGCAACTGCTATAAAGTTGGTGTGAAGAATATTCTCTGAGGAAAAATAAACTGACAAGAAGTGCTGTTAATGGACCAGATATTGGTCCAATCGATTCAGTTCAACATGAATTTATTACAGATGGACTAGGTTAATTCAATCTGATCAATATTTTGTATTAGATTAGTTGAATTCAATGTCTTATTGTGTTGTCCGATCAATCCAACCCAAACCTGGTCCATTACACCCTATTCTTATCTTTTCTAATTTGTTAAAATAAACTCAGTTTAATATAAAACCATTATAGACGGACAAGTCCAATCTAATCCAATAAATACTTTACCAATAGGTCTGAACTGAACTCGTCCAATTCTATACCTACGTATTCACTAAAACAGATAGATGTTGAGTATTTGAGTTCTGTGACCCATTTTACACGTCTTGTATGTGGCAGATCCGTTGATTGAAAGTTGGATTGGGTCCATCATCACATCGTGTTGTGTTGAAGATTTGGTTGGTTTAGCATCATGTTGAGGGTAAATGGGTAATATCCGCAGATAGTCGGGTTGGATTGGGCTTGATCACCAAACTTCTGAATGAAACTTTTCATGAAGAAACAAATACAAGGTTGTGTGGTCAACTAGTAAAAATCTCATAGATGGGTTCATTTCATACCATAGTACCATAACCGGAATGGTAACAAACTTTTTTGCCAGTGCTGTTATCAGACTTGATCGGATCCAGCGGATGAACCAGTGAATCGGTAACCCACTGATAATTTTGGGTGCATGGGCTTACCTATCTAAACCCAATTTTGTCATATTTGGTGTAGACTGTGGAGTTATATAAGGCCAAAGACTCGGTTCATTCCATCTTGAACCAAATTAAACAAACTCGGTCCAACCTAATCCATAAGCAAGTAACCTGAACCAATCTACCCACAATAAGGTGGCAAGAAGTAATATAAATAAGACCCATTTTGGGAATAGATCTAGGTTCTCTCATACCCGAGACCCAATTCCCAAACCTATACTCTCTCTCTCTCTCTTTGCCTTTGGTTATGCGATTCTCCCTCAACCGACATGACTTCAGCCACTCCTTCCATCTTCCTTCGATGATCAACCAGACGGCCTTGTCCACCGGTTTACACTTGGATCGAACAAAAAGAAGACTTGCAGCTTTTGTTCGATTTCAGTATGACAAAATTGACCTAGCCAACTATTAAGAATAAATCACATACAAAACAAGAGAAATTGAAATAAAAACGACCAAAAAGGAACAGACAAACAAACAAGAAAAACTAATAAATCAAGCAAACACCTATCGAAGGGGGATGAAAGATCCTTCCGCCATAAGTTTTTCGGGTATTATGTCTTTCTGGCATCATAGTCGATCCTGTAAATTTAGGATGCCTGAAATTGATGATACGAAAAGAGTTTTGACCAATCAAAACCCATAAATTTTGATGAATACCCCTGATAGCTTAACTTTTTGGAGATAATGGTTGATTGCTTATAAGTTTTTCCGATATATAGTCAAACCCTCAGTGGAATGCACCTTGTATGGTGGTGTGTAGACTGGTTATTAGACATAGATACATATAGAAGTATCCGGTGCAAATGAATTACCTGCATTGGGGGTATGGTTAGTTGTTCAATGGATATGAAATTAGAACAACAATATTGTTCTTTCAATGCATGAAATAGGAGAATTCTTGATTCTATCATGGGAATTCAGCTCATGCACAACCTCAGTAAGTATCTGGGAGCTTTTCCAAATGATATTTGTTAATCTAAACTGAATTGGAAGCTCATAGTGGAAAAAGTTACAAATAAGGCTCAGTTTGAAAACAGTACAAATACAAATATCTACAGTATAAATACATACAAAATAATACAAAATATAAGGTTTTACATACACTGGTGACGTTTTACACTGAACCAGAGAGTGACCGTTGCTTTTTTAAAAATAATGATGGGTGGAAGAGTGTAAAGTTTTACATCAATAAAATCAATGTAGTTTTTACATCGATTATCGATGTAAAATTTTAGAGTTGGTGAGGTTTTACATCGATTATCGACGTAAAACTACACTCCATCCAAACGCACGCAAAACTGAACCGGAGTGTAGTTTTACGTCGATAATAATTACACTCTCTTTCCAAACGTATACAAAACCGGACCAATGTAAAATTTACATACAAAACTGGAAGGTGTAGTTATTGTCACAAGCAGGTAGAGGAGTTCTTATTAAAAGTGTATTGTAGACAATTCCCAACTATTATCTCTGAAATGAATGGTAGGATCCATCGTATGGACGCCAAAACTGTTGGGTAATGGGAGGGCAAATTTCGAAAATTTCCTACCTTCCTTCCAACTGGGAATCGCATTCCCTAATTTTAGAATCAAAATTCAAGGATCTTTCTTGAACCAAACCAAACCAGATTTGAACCAAAAGACAAGGGAGGGATTATACCTGATCCAGAGAAGCAGTATCTCCCAAAGTTGGTGTTAACGCCCAAAGAAGATTCCAAAATCAGCTCCCACTGAAAATGACATAGTGATGATAGAGCCGAACCAAGAGTGTTCGTCCCACGAACCAGGCTCTTCTGAAAAACTCGATGGAAGACCGTGAGCACCACACGAACAATCAAGAACCTTTCTTGATCTTCTCTAACTGAGAACTCGAACTGGAAGAAAAGGGTGGCGGCAGATGCTGAAGGAGAATGCTAGAGAAGAAGATGGCGAACTGCTATTTTCTTCTCTAGGGTTATTTGAGATCCTATCTCAAGAATGTAGAGTTGTCTCCTAAAACTCCCTAGGGATCGAATTCAAGTAATTCGAATTAGGGTTTTTCTCCTCTTTCTAATGATTAAGAAAACTTCCTAATCATATAAGGGGTTTCCCTTATCCAAATCTGTATTTGGATTAGGACTCTTCTTAATCTAGTCTGCAGATTAGATCAGCTTTTGGGCTTAACTTAATCTCAGATCCACCCCCTTAAGTGACTAATCAAATCAGCCCAGATCGAAATGGGCTTTGGGCCCAATATGTATTAAGTGCTCAATTGTCTTCCAACCTGCTGCCCAGTTGGGCTTCTTTGTATGGCGTGGGACCCAAGCATTGATCTACACNTAATGATGGAGTCAAACCAGCAGTGTTCGTCCCGCGAACCAAGCTCTTCTGAAGAACTCGATGGAAGACTGTGAGCACCACACGAACAATCAAGAACCTTTCTTGATCTTCTCTAACTGAGAACTCGAACTGGCAGAAAAGGGTGGTGGCGGCTGCTGGAGGAGAATGCTAGAGAAGAAGATGGCGAACTGCTACTTTCTTCTCTAGGGTTATCTGAGATCCTATCTCAAGAATGCAGAGTTTTCTGCTAAAAACTCATAGGGTTCAAATTCAAGTAATTCGAATTAGGGTTTTCCTCCTCTTTCTTAATGATTAAGAAAACCTCCTAATCATACCAGGAGTTGCCCTTATCCAAATCTGTATTTGGATTAGGACTCTACTTAATCTTATCTGCAAATTAGATCAGTTTTTGGGCTTAACCTAATCTTAGATCCACCCCCTTAAGTGATTGATCAAATCATCCCATATCGAAATGGGCTATAGGCCCAATATGTATTAAGTGCTCAATAGTCTTCCAAACTGATGCCCAGTTGGGCTTCTTTGTATGGCGTGACCCAAACATTGATCTACACACCAGCCACATGGGTTCGGCCCAGCCTCTGTTACAAGGCCTAGCCAAATTCACTAGAAAGCCCAGTGAACCCCTTGAGCCCATCACATGGACCCCATGGGCCCAACACTTACACTAAGTGGTCCCTGGGCCAAGCCATCTTATAAAAACCTAGGGATTGTGGGCAGATGTAAGATTAGCCCATCAGGTATTATCCTAAATGACCTTACACTCAACCTCTCAGCCCATAATGATCAAGCACTGCCCGACAAGAGAGGACCTCTCCCTCCGCTGCAAGGAATATTGCTGCACTTTCTACTCACATGGATCC